ATTGTGGCAAAAGATACATAACATTAAGTTTACCATTTTAACCTTTTTTGAGTGTGCAAGTTAGTGGCATTAAGTACACTCACAATGTTGTAGAGCTACCATCATTATCTATTTCCAGAACTTTTTTTTATCACCCAAACAGAAACTCTGTAATTATTCTTCCTTCCTCCCAGATACCGGTAACTTCTATTCTACTTCTATCTCTCTGAATTTTCCTGTTCCAGATATTTAATATAAGTAGAATCATATAATACTCTGTTTTTTGGTATCTGGCTTATTTCATTTAGCACAATGTTTGTAAGGATTATCCACATTGCAGCACATATAAAAATTTCATTCCTTTTTATGGCTGAATAAAATTCTACTGTATGGATATACCACATTTTGTTTATCCACTCATCTGTTGATGGACATTTGGGCTGGTTCCACCTTTTGGCTGTTGTGAATAATGTTGCTATGAATACTAATGTACAAGTATGTATTTGAGTCCCTGCTTTCAATATCATGCAGTAATGTCTGTGTTTAACAAACAGCTGGCAAAATTCCTAAAAATTTAATAATTGTCTCTCATGAGTCTGTTAGACCTGGCTGTCACACAACACTGGAGAGTCCATAATTTACCCAATTCTATCTAAACAAGGGCCAATTTGGGATTCATATCACCACACAGCATCTTCCAAATTGTCTGATGAGTGGCTGGGACATATCAAAGTATTGATCCCAGGCCCTCCTGGGAAATTCTGAATCTGAAAGTCTGAGGTGAGGTGATTTTTCTCATCAGAATTTTTCTCAGCCTGGAACACCTGATATTAGCCCCCCACCCCCCAAGTATCACCAAACCTAGGCCAAAGGCAGGGGGTACGACTCTGGTGCCCTAAAGGAGAGGTGTTAAGAATAAGTCCTCTGGGGAGAACTTGTAGGACTTGTAGCAAATTTAGGGGTGGCATTTTTTTTTCTCTCCAAAATCCTTCCCAGCTCCAATATTTGTTGGCCATACAATTCTCTCCTGCATATCTCCCTGCCTCCCATCTTAGGAAAGAACACTTTTCAGAGAGAGGCGAGTGGAAATCATTAGGCCCAGCAATTTAACACCATCTCAGAAGTTTGCATATCATTAAATTGTTTAGAAACATGCTCTGAAGTTACAAGTTTGCCATTCTGTGGTGTTATTTTGATATCCTGACAAGATATTTTTAGAGCACATAAAGCCCAAATTAAAACATTGCTACAAAAAAGAAGAAAAAAACCCAAAGTGAAATTAAACCAGGGCTCCATAAATGGAAAACTACAGTAAATAGCAGATAGGAGTGAAGAAAAAAGTGCCAAATATTTTTGAGAACTATTCTGAGAGGAGAGGAGATGAACAGATGCTGCTGATTGGCAAGCAGAGATGGGCCTGTGTCCTGCCAGGGTGAGAAGGAAAGGGGTCACGCCTGTAGGCTCTGTCCTGACAGGCTCTTGCCCCCAGATTAGTGCATGGGGAACTTCCTTCCCGCTGGCAAGGCACGGGCTCAGGCCGCTGGCAGGGGGTGCACTACGTCACCTTTACTGGACATGGTCAGGGGTCCCACTGGCCTTCTCCTTAGTCATTGGTTTCTTGGGCCAGGTCTGGAATATGGTTAGTTAGACCTAAAACCCCCTTGCCTTCTTCCTTTATCCTTTTTCTCTCCAGATCAATGTGTTTCTGGCATTTCTCAGATGACCTCCATTTGTGTGCTTCCATGCACTCAGATTTAAAGATCCATCTTACAAACCACCCATAACGAGAAGGTCTACACCCCTAGATTAAATCTCTTAGATCTTTGGTTCTTAACTTCTTTATGGCTACAAATCTCTCTGATTACCTGATGGAGGCAATAAATCCTTAATGTGCTAGTTAAGAGTTTCAAAGGGTTTGTTGACTCCCCCAGTCCTATTGGTGGACCCCATGGCAAGAGACTCTGCCTTAGGTAGTGATAGAGTCACTCATGGCCTTGGGTTATGCCAAGGGATGCCTTGACCTTCAGCTGGAAACTGTCGCATTTCCTCCAGATCCAGCACTCCAGCTATGGTGTGAATCTAGCACTCCAACTACGGTGTGAATTTGAATGCCCCCCCATTTTCTTGGAGACTTGATACAATTCTAATTGGATAGTTCAGAACAAGGTCAAGGGGTTTCTTTGGCAATGTTAAGATACCCTTGGGTTTCTTATTAAAGAAAAAGAGAGAGAGTCCTTTAGGGGAATACAATGTCTCTGAGTCACTGTGTAACCCAGAGAGAGAGATATGGAAAGATCTTTAAGTTTATGAGAGGAAGTATGGGCAGTAGATGCCAAGAGTCATTTTCCTTATCCCCTGAATTTAGGGCATACAACAAGATTTTTGTCCCTAGAGCGTAAGGGTGAGACATAATGATTGTGAAACCAGCCCATTGCCATCAAGGAATATGCCATCCTGCATAGAGTAGAGGGTGAACAGATTAACATCCTCATTTTTCCAGCCCACCTGCCTGAAGTACCTGGCACATAGAGTTTTTTAAATTAAAGATTGGAGGAATGACTCTGTTCAGTGAGATGACTTGCTCTAGAGTGTCATTTTATGCTAACCAATTGGATTTTGGAGAATGTCTCCCAAAGACAATGGATTTTTGTTTTAATATTGAGTATTGAGTCATTATGCTTAGCTGCTGGTAGGCTCAATTGCCTCTTCAGGCTACCCCCTACGCTGATAATAAAACCATTATGGGAACAGGACAGGCACCCAGAGTCTAGGACTTGGTGGAGGCTCTGGGAGGGAAAAGGAGAAGTGGAGTGGGATGAGGGAGAAGGCAAGGATGGATTAATTTTGAGGTTCTGACTTACTTCCCCCTTCTGAATTGTAAATATTATTTGGGGCGGGGGAGGAATAGATTATATAATATCTATAATCAATTCCTTGTTTCTTTTTTTTACTGTTTTCTTCCAGTCTTGGTCCATATTCACGTCGACTTATCTGAGTTATAATGTAATACTCTTTTGTGTTGTGTGTTTTAACTTAGCATTATATGACATTTTTAATGATGTTATTTATTCCTTATGAGTAACTTTTAAAAACAGACTCAGCTCTCCTTTTTTTTCCCTGACTGTACATGTAAAGATATTATTTTTAGAAATGCAGACAATATGCAAAAAAGGTGAAAAATACCCTTTATATTTTGAAGTGTATCCTTCCAGACTTTTTTCCTATGCATATATAAATACATACTTCCAAAAACAGAATCATATCAGACACGCATTTTTAGTTCTTTGCACATCATTAAATATAAAGTAGTAACTTTAAAATTTTTTAATTAGTATTATGTAGATATAGGGTAATATTTTAATAATTAGTAGTATTTCAGTAGTATTTTTAAAATTAATTTTATTTACTATTTAATAAGAGTACTATTTTTAAGTATTGGTGTTCCACAGCTTATTTGCCCTTTCCTACTGACAACACTTCATTGTTTCCAAATTGTCACCACTGTAACAGTCCTCATTGCACACATCATCTTTCCCTAGGACCAACTCCTAGCAGTAGAATTTGTGGGCCAAAGGGAATGTACATTTAACATTCTGAGTTGTTCCCAGCTGAAGTGTATAAGAGAGCCCCATTTCCCTTACTCTTGCCAATACAATTTCCTTCTTAATAGCCGCAAAAGAGTCCTGGATTAATAATGCTCAGCACAACAGGCTTTCCAGTTTGGAGGAGAGCCACATTCCCCAAGGCCTGTCCCGAGCCACAGTGTCCTTGTCGTGTGCGGGTACCGCCGCCAGATGGCATGAGAAAGAGAGAGAGAGAGAGAGAGAGAGAGAGAGGCAGGCCGGCCTGGGAGGACTTCGCAGGGCGGGGTGTGGATCCCAGCCCAGCTCCGTTGGCCACCGCGGTGCGACCGGGTGCCAGGGAAGGCAGGGGAGGAGTGGGAAGTATGGACTTGGAGCGGGAACGAGACGGCACGTGGAGCTCAGCGCCCCCGGGAAGAACATACAGGCTGTGTAAGCGGAGGCTGCAACGGTCTCATCAGCGCCGAACCCCGCCGTGCGCCTATAGACGCGGCGATCGGACGCGGGGGCCGCGTTAGGGACGAGGTAGCGTCTGGGACTGCGCGCCTCCCAGCGCCTCCAGGCTCAGCGGGCCAGCAGGACGCCCGAGCTCAGGCGGCTTGCAATGCCTCCCGCGGCCCTGGATCCCCGGAGGGCGGCGTCGGGGGCGGGGAGAGGGGGTGGGAAGGCTAGAGCAGTCCGGATCTGCCCCCGCGCCCCACGCCCCACTGAGTGGCCTTGGACCTGAGGCAAGTCATTGGACTTCTCTGCGTCTCGGCTCCTCTCTGTGAAATGGGATCACTGCTGGTACCCACATCAGAGAAGACTGTTGTGAGGCTCAACTGTATTTTTTTTGCAACCTCCCTAAAAATGCTACCACCGTTCAACCAACGCCCAACACAACTGGCTTATTAACCTCCCGGAGGCTACGGAGGAATAGAAGAGAAGATCGGTCTCTGTAGAGGCTTACTGTATTCCATTCTCTCCGAGCACCCTCTAGACCTTCATCCCCAAACCAGAAAGAAACGTTATAAACCATGGCCCTCATCTCGGGGAACCCACGGTGTAACTGAGGAGTCATGAATGAAACACACGCAGGAAAATCACTTCAAAGGTCTTACCAGGGGTCACAATCACCGGCATCTGACAGCTCTCCTGAGAGAAGGGGTTACAGCCCCTCCTGGCCCGTGGGGAGCTCTGACAAAGTCCTGGGTCTACCCAGCACATCTTGCTCACTTCCCGAATTCCATTCCCAGTTGAAGGAGGTGGCTGGTGGCCACCCCCAAGAACGAGGGCATGGGAGGGGGAGGGGAGCTATGTTGGCGGTTGCCATGGTTTTGCTCTGAGTTCTGGAGCCAACCTGCCCACTCCCTGAGACACTCAGGTCACAGAAGCAGTAGGTCAGAAGCTTGAGGGGACAGAAGGAGCGTCACTCTGGAGGCCACCAGTGCACCTGCTGAGATGGAGGCCTCAGATGGGCAAGGGGCTGAAGGGGACAAGCCACCAAAGAAGGTGAAATGGGGCTAGGGAGGTGAGGGAAGGAAGAAAGGAGGGTCCTTGAGAGGCTGGTCTTGGAAAGCAGAGAACATGAAATTCAGGGAAGAAAAGAAGAAAAAATGGTGATGTATGAGCTAGCAGGAGACCGAAGGAACAAGAGGTTAATTCATTCAATGAATTAAGATGTTTATCAAAGACATATATTCAGGGAAAGATGACTGTTGGTTGTGGAGATACAAGTGCTTGTATGTGTGTGTGCATGTGTGTGTGTACACCTGCGTTATGGTCTGCGTGCTTGGTTGTGTGGTGTGAGTGGTGTGTTTACGGAGTCGATCTGCCTGAGTCCCCTCGCTCTGGGGCCCAGAGAAGCCCAAGTTCCATACTCCCTCTGTTTGCCTTCCTCTCTTTCCCTGGTCTCTGCCTTCAGAGTGGTCTGGGCCTGGGTCTTCCTTATTCTCCCTGAACACAGGCAGGAATTAATCCTCACTTTTCTGAGGGGATTTTGCAAAGTCAGGTGCAAACTCTACTGTGTCAGTCTAATCCTGTGCTCTGACTTCAAGTATTATTTCACGGCCACTTTGTCTTAATTAATTTTCAGGATTTGGGGTTTTTTTTGTTTTTTGGCCCCACATTTCTTGTCAGAAAGCTCCTCCTCATTACCATCACCATCACATGCTTTTCCAAGTACCCATTACTGTGGCTTGATGCTAAAGTTTAGAGACAGGCCTAGGACTTAGGTGTTCAGTAAATGTTTGCAGAATGAATGAGTGAATGACTCCCTGCTCATTCCCCCAAGGTGTCCCTTCAATCTCTTGGTGCCTCAAAGTGTTCTCGTCTATAACCAGGAATAATGATATCTCACCTCACAGAATTTGTGTGAGAATAAAATGAGTTCATGTTTATCAAGTGCTTTGCAAAAGTAGCTACAATACTGTGCTCTAAAGATTATAAAAGAAATGGGTAGGGCATTCTAGGTTTTCTAAGCAGGGATCTTCACAGATGGGTTTCTTTGTTGAGGGCTTCCTTGCCTCCAGGCTGAGCCAAGAAAGAGGTCCTAGGGAAAACGGAGAAGGGCTTTGGCTGGAATTTGGACCACTGGTTGTCTCGCACTGGCCCCCTGAGAAGCACGCACCTAAACCCCCCAGCTGACCGCTGCCCCCTGCCTCCTCCCAGGTGACAGATGTATCCTGCTTAGAGAAGAGCTCTGGCACCACCTCCACTGGGGACTCACTTATACGCCATGCCAAGGGCCTGGGCCAGGACACCTTCAAAATAGTGAGTAAGGGACTCTGTCCCTCCTACAGGCTGGGAGACCTGGGTCAGAAATTGGCAGGCCTCAGACCCATACTTACTCAGACCCATACTTACTGTCCCATTTGTCACGGTCTTGGCAAGGAAGTGGGGTAAGGCCTTGAAAGAGCCTCCTTACTTAACCCACTTAACACTTCCTGGCCCATAATGGTTGCTGGTTACTTGGGGCTGCCCATCTGCCTCTTCATTTCTTCTATGGTCCCTCACATCACCTGTTGCCTCCACAGTGTAAAGAATATCTAAGGCCACTGAAGAAGTTTCTGCGAAAGTTGCACCTGCCCAGGGACCTTCCCCAGAAGAAGAAGCTAAAGTACATGAAGCAGAGCCTGCTGGTCCTAGGGGACCACATCAATACCTTTCTGCAGCACTACTGCCGAACATGGGAGATCAAGCACTGGAGGAAGTAGGGCAGCCTCCTTGTCCTTCCCACTATACCCATTCCTGGGCCCCGCCAATTCAAGGACACACCTCAGTCAAGATCCCAGAGTACTTCATCTTTATGTGAAAGAGTGAGGATTCTGGAGCGAGCTTGGTGAAGAAGGGGTGGAGAGAACAGGGTCCTCTAGTTATTCAGGGCAGAGCTGATTCACACAGCTTGCCCACACACTGGACAAAGAACTCTCTTGACTCTGTGATTGAACAACTGCTGTGTGGTGTGGGTGTCCAGCACCAGGATGGGGAGTTCAAGGTTTAGCAAATCTCCAGCTCTCCACGTCCCGGACCAAACCCAAGGAGGCAGCACATGGTCCGTTTCTCCCTGGGTGGGTCCTGGACACAAGACAGACACTGAAGGGAGAGGGCCTGTGCTCTACCTCCCTCAACCTTGGTTTCTCCCCCGCAGGATGCTCTGGAGATTTGTTTCTCTATTCTCAGAATTGGAAGCGAAACAACTTCGCAGGCTCTACAAGTACACCAAGAGCAACCAGACAGCCAAGTTCCTGGTGAGGCGCTCAGGAAAGCTCCTCCCGGGCCCAGCTGAGGGTTGGCTGGTGTGTTCTTGGATTGTGGGGGGAGGCCTGGGGCTGAGGGGGCCCTCTCATACCGCCAGCATCCCTTGACTGGTTTCCACACTCACTGCCTCAGGAAGACCCCCACAGGGGGCAAAGGTGCTGAAGAGGGCAGAGGCTTGGCTTCAAGTTCTTGGTAGCTCTTCCCTCTCCACACCCACACTCTGATGTCGACAGGTACAGGGACATTCCTGAGGAGCTTTGGGTGGGGATGGTAGAGGCCAGACAGAGAGGCTCAACCAGCTTGGGGAAGGTTCAAAGCACTATCGACAGAAGCTGGCTTGGCTTTGCTCAGAAACAGTGACTCTCAAACATTTTTGACTCAAGTCATGTTTACCCTCTTAAAAACCTAGTGAGAAGCCCAAAAAGCATTTGTTTATATAGGTTATAGCTATTGATATTTGCCCTATTAGAAATTAAAACTAAAGAAAAACATTCAAAATATGTACCCACTACTCCATTTAAAAAGAAAAACAAGGAGCCTGTTACATTTTAACATAGTTTTTATAAGAAATATCTATATTTTCCAAAACAAAACAAAACAAAAATGTAGTGAGAAGAGTAGCATTGTCTGATGTTTTTGCAAATCTCTTTAGTGTCTGACTTAACAGAAAACAGATGCTTCTGCAGTCTCTTGTGATATGTGATTTGGTTGCAGTACATGAAGAAAACCCAGCCTGGGATGCCTGGGTGGCTCAGTCAGTTGAGCATCTGCCTTCAGCTCAGGTTATGATCCCAGGGTCCCGGGATCTAGCCCCGCATCTGGCTCATTGCTCAGTGGGGTGCCTGCTTCGCTCTCTGCCTGCTGCTCCCTTTATTGTGCGCGCTCTGTCTCTCTGACAAATAAATCTTAAAAAAGAAGAAGGAGAAAGAGAAGGAGAAGAGGAAAGCCCAGGCTGTACCAACATATAGTTAGAGAAGAGAGTATTTTACTAACATTTTTACATAGTTGTGGATATTCTTCTTTGATTCCACACCAAAATCCAACCAGTGGCAGTACTTAGTAGCAATATGGAATCTGAAACCTATCAATGAATGTTTTAAAATATAAATATATATCCTTTTAGGTTTACAGAAAATTTGGGTAGAAAGTACAGAGATTTCCTGTATGCTAACCCCTCCTGCTTCCCTCACGATTAGCGTCTTGCATTAGAGGGGTACGTTTATTACCATCGTTGAGCCAGTATTGACACATTATTTAGGACACACTATTAACTAAATAATGTCCATAGTTTACATTAGGGCCCACTCTTTGTGTTGTGCATCTAGAGGTTCTTTTTTTTTCTAAAGATTTTATTTATTTACTTATTTAATTTTATTTATTATCAATTGTTTATTTTTATTGATTATTTTATTTATTTATTTATTTATTTATTTAATTTATTTATCTCTCTATTTGTGAGAGAGAGAGAGATACAGAGATAGAGAGCATAAGCAGGGAGCAGAGGGAGAAGCTCTCCTCCAAGCAGGGAGCCTAACACAGGGGTCCATCCCAGGACCCTGGGATCATGATCTGAGCTGAAGGCCAACTCTTAACTGAGTGACCCAGGCGCCCCCGATAGGTTTCGACAATTGCATACTGACCTGTGCCCACCGTTACAGTATCATACAGAATAGTTTCACTGGCTTAAAAACTGCTCCAGTAGTCATCCCTCCATCCTTTCCTCCAAACTCCTAGCAACCATTGATTTTTTTTTTTTTTTTTTTTTTTTACTGTCTCAATGGTTTTGCCTTTTCCAGCATGTCATACAGTTGGAATCGTACAGTATGTGGCTTCCTCAGATTTGCATCGATGACCTTTTCACACTGGGTTCATTAGAATCCATTGGTTTCTCTCCTGCACTTTGAGTAGGCCCCACTTTTCAGGGGGTCAGCGAGGTTAAAATATTTTGTGTCCCCAGGGGTTCACAGAGCACCGTTTGAGAATCACGAGTTCAAAATAAGAATCATAGGTAACAGTTTCTACGTGCCAGGTGCTTTATTTTCCCTCCTGTCATCTTCAAAAGCAACCCTACCTGGTAATTACAAGTAGTGTCCACAGTGTGTAAATGAAGAGGCCAAGTACAGAGCTGTAAAGTAACATGATCCAGACCACACAGCAAATGAGGGGAAAAGCTGGGTTCAAACGTACTCTGGCTCAGAGGAAAGCCCTGCTCTAACTGCGGCTCCCCAACCCAGCTACCCGGCTTTAACCAAATCCCCTCTCCCTTCAGGACTCTGTTTCTTTCTCTGAACATGAATGGGTGGATCCTTTCAAGGACTCTGAATATGAGGTGTTGACATTTTAGTGATTTCTGGGTTTCACTGGCCAGGAAAATTTCAAAAGATATTTTTAGGCTCTCAATTTTAATTTTGCCAAGGACTTTAAAACAAATACCATAGTTTCATTAAAAACAAATACATAAGACACTGTAACTCTACACTAAGGGACACATGAAAAGATGCTCCACATCACTCACCTCAGGGAAATAGGAAAACGACAAGGAGGTGCACCTCAGACCCGTCAGAATGGCTAAAATTAACAACACAAGAAACAGGTGCTGGTGAGGATGCAGAGAAAAAGGAACCATTGTGCACAGTTGGGAAGGGAAACTGGTGTAGCCACTGTGGAAAACAGTATGGAGGGCCCTCTAAAAGTTAAACACACTACCTTGTGACCCAGCAATTGCACAATTAGGTATTTACCCAAAGGAAACAAAATGATTTGAAGGGGCACGTGCACCCCGATGTTTACAGCAGCATTATAAACAATAGCCAAATTATGCAAAAAGCCCAAATGTCCATTGACTGATGAATGGATAAAGATGTGATATATATATATGTGATAAGATCAGCCATCAAAAAGGAAATCTTGCCATTTGCCATGACATGGATGGAGCTAGAGTGCATTATGCTAAGCGAAGTCAATCACAGAAAGACAAACACCGTCTGATTTCACTCATGTGCAATTTAAGGAACAAAACAGATAAACACAGGGAAAGGGGAAAAAAGAGGGAAGCAAACCGTAAGAGACTCTTAACTATGGAGAACTCTTAAATACAGAGATATAGAGAACTATAGCAGCCAAGGGGTGCTGGAGGGGAGAAAGGTGGGGCACAGGCCAGATGGGTGATTGGGATTAAGGAGGACACTTGTGATGAGCACTGGGTGCTATATGGAAGTGACGAATCACTAAATCCTACCAGGGAAACCATTATTATTTTTTAAAGATTTTATTTATTGATTTGATAGAGATCATAAGCAGGCAGAGAGGCAGGCAGAGCGAGAGGGGAAAGCAGGCTCCCTGCTGAGCAGAGAGCCCGATGCGGGGCTCGATCCCAGGACCCTGAGATTACCACCTGAGCGGAAGGCAGAGGCTTTAACCCACTGAGCCACCCAGACACCCCGAAACCATTATTTTTATGCTATATTAACTAGAATTTAAATAAAAACTTGAAGCAAATAAAGACACTATATATCACTCTAAAAAGAGGAGGAGGACTTATATTAAAGAACCACCCAGGAAGGAACTGTTGGCAGCCTGGCCTCAGTGTCCTGCCTCTCCCCCATCTGTGACTCATTCCTCCATCTGGCAAGGCAGGGGGTGAGGGGCGGCCAGACCGCAGTAGTTTCCTCTCACCGGCAGGGCTGGGGCTCTGGAAGGTGGGGCCCGCTCTCCTCCACACCCTCCTCAACGTTACGCGCCCATTGCAGGTGGCGTTCTGCCCCTTGGACACGCCGGAGAGCTCCTTGCTGGCCGACCAGGAAGACAGTCTGCCCAAACTCTGCAGTGCCTGGGGCCTGCACAGCAACATCAGCGGCATGAAGGAGAGGCTGTCCAAGATGCAGGCCCCCGACCCAGATGCCTCCCTGCTGGGGGAGCCCACATCCGGGTCCCAGGGTGGGCCAGGTAATGCCCGCAGGGGTGGAGGCCTGCCTGGGGGAGGGGCCTCCGAGGCGGGGCTGCAACAGGGGATGCTTATCGTAGGAAGTTTGAAGTGTAGAGATAAGTGTAAAATGGGAGAGAGGAAAATCACCCATCCCCCAAGGCCCTGACTGGTCAAGAGTGTGGTGTGTTTCCCTCAGCGTTCTGCAGGACTTCCCTCTGGGGGTCTCATGATACATACTGTTTTGGATCCTGCATGTTTCAGGGAACAGTCTGAACGAAGCCACTCGCCCATAGGACTAGAAGCAGACAATTTGCTAGCAGTCAGGGTTGGGGACTCCCAGGAAGGGTCCAAGCAGAGGCAGGAAGCCTGCTCTTGGTGTCGGGTGGGGTATGGTCTAAGGGACAGGTTCATTCCCACAGTGGGGAGAAAGTCGAGTCAGATGGCCTGAGAATGGCCTTGCCAGCAGCCTTGGTCTCTGCCACGACTGCCCTGCTTGGCCCTCTGGACAGGGGCTCTTCAGTGAGGCGTCCCAGCCAAGGTTGGAACCTATGAAGGTCCCTCCTTGTGCACAGAGGAACAAAGCCACTTACCCTTCCCGCTTCTGTATCCGGCTTCTGGGACCACAGTTAGCTGTTCTTTCTTTGCTACTGGGGGAGAAAGTGAAGGCAAACAGGGTGGTGCAGGAGCTCATGGTGTGGTCCTAAATTGACGGCAGGTGCTGCTCTGAGGGTCAGGCTGGCTGGGAGTGATGTAGGCCCGCGCCGCTCAAGCGGCCTCATCCATGAGTCACAGCTGCCCTGAGTGGGAGAGCAGGAGGGAAAACGGGGCAGGGGCAGTGGGCGTGAGTCAAGAAATTACTGAGGCTCTAAATAAAATCTTAAAAAAAAAAAAAAAAAAGAAATTACCGAGGCTCAGAACCCTGTCTTGGCTCCATGAAGGCCCTTGGTCCTGGTGCCTAGAGTTTAAACTGAGGAAGCAAAATACACAATGAATTGTCTATTTTTCATTGTGAAATGAAGGCCAGCCCATCATGAAGATGATGTAGGCCACAGCAGTTCATGAATCACATAAGGAAAGTGAGCTCTGAGCTTTGGGGCTAACCTTTTCCCAAACCAGTGCTTGGTATCTCTTCATTTCACCTAACCCTAACCCCTGCAACAACCTCAGGAGATGAGTATTATCCCCCTTTCACAATGAGCCATTTACAAATTTACAATTTACAGATGAGCCATCCGAGGCCATAGGGCAAAGGGTAGGACAAGGCTGGTTGGAGGAGGTAACTCTGGGACAGGCTTTAAAGAAAGGTAAGAGGAGGAGAGGAAGAGGGATAAGGGAGGGAAAGAGAGGGAGGAAAGGTGTGTGCAGAGGTGAGGGGCGATGAGCAGATAGTCTGGGCCTGGAGGTGAATGAAAGAGCAGGTTGGAGAAGTGCAGGCCAGGGGCGTAATAGGAAAAAGCCTCGGATGGTGGGTTAAGAACATTGGCTTTCATGTAATTCTTAAAATAACATTTTGTTCTTACAAACATAAGCAGAGCATGGAAAGTAAGTAATACCAATAGGCAAAAATAGGAAAATGTAGACATATATTGTCCTCACTACTGCTAGCACTTTCCAAATGTTTTTTATACACATAAATTCATGTATTTTAGCCAAATGAGACCTCACTGCATATAGGATTTTGACTGGAACTTGCTTTTTTCAGTTAGTTAGATCAGCATTCCATGTCAATGTTTTAATCTAATGGTTGGATTAAGTATTTCTTATTCACATTTTCCCAGTAGCCCAAGACATTTTTTGCAACGATTTCCCACTCCTGCATTTGCACCTGGTCACATCTCTTCCATCTCTTTGAACCCAACAAAATCCCCCTTTTCACAACCTGACTTGTTGAAGAGATCAGGCCATTGTTCTGCAGAATGTTCCACTTTTGACTCTTGTTACTTCCTTTTGGCATTTTTTAAAAGCTTGTTCCTCTGTGCATAAACTGGACTTTAGATCTGAAGTCCTGATGAAGTCCCGTTCACCATTTGTTTTCCTGGGATACAGACAAGGTTGTGTTCCTCACGTTGTGTTACATGACAAAGCCCATGCTGTCTGGAGGGCCCGCCAAGAACGGGCTTTGATCAATCACTCAGTCCATCTGTGATATTAAAGGTAACCCTCATGGTGTTTCTTTGGCACCATGTTCAAAAGTCAGTTTTTAAGTAAAAAGCTGGCAGTGGGTTTCACAAATAGTCCGGCAGCCAAGTCGTGGGAACTGGGGCCTGAAAGCCGAGACAGATGTGGGGAGGACTGAGAGTCAAGCAACATAGTCTAGTCCTGACTCTGCCCCTCACTTGCCTAGGGCTTTGGGCAGGGTGGGCTCTGCGCTTGGGTGAGATCCCTCATCTGTAAATCGGGGTGACACCATCTTCCCCTGCCACAGGATTTCTGTGAGAAAAGAGGAAGGGGCAGAGGTTGCAAGTGAAGATAAGATTTTGTTGTTCTTTCCCTCCATATTACAGGCTGAGATTCTCTGTGATATTATCAGGACTGTGTCACCTTCCCTTTTCAGGTTCTCTAAGGAAACTTCCCCAAAAAACGAAACTCAGAAGGAAGAGGATTAAGGAAGCCCCCAAGACTCCAGAGACCTGCGCGTGAGAACTGCCAGCCAGGCCGGGGTGCAGGGCCAGCTTGTCCTGGCTCCCAGAGCACTTTTTCTCGTCTTCAACACCTCTGCACCCTGGGGGCTGGGGGCCAAGGAGGGGAAAGACGAAAACTGTCTGTCAAAAAGATGTTCAGATCTTAGTTATGTCTAAATGGGGTGGGGAAATAAACATCCTTAAGACAGTTCCACCGTACTTGATTAACAGTCATCATTCATTCATTTTTTAATTTATTAAAAGAATATTTGCCAGATACCTTCTGGGCGGCAGGTGCCCCACGCGAGCACAGATGAATAAGAGGTGATCGCTTGCATCGTGGCTGTCCATCACCATCTAGTGTGGGAGACATACAAGGAGAGCGGTTACAGTGGGTTGAGGCTGGTAACAAAGGAGTGATGCGTGGAGGGAGGGCGCAGTAGGGAGGGGAGCGGGCCTGGAGTGAGAGAGGGAGAAGTCAGGCAGCCTGCCCCGATCTTCCGCCCTTGGTCTCCTGGGTAAACGGGGGGGGGGGGGGGGGGGGGGGGGGGGGGGGGGTGGAGTGGGGAGGCGACTGGCAGTGGAATGAGCTGGTGTGACCTGGCACCTGGGGAGAGACTCTGCCGCCCAACCCCCGCCCCCCACCTGCAAAGTGCACGGGAGGGAGAGGCCAGAGAGCCAAGGAGAAACCACATCAGTAGTTGCAGCTAGAATGATGGTTCCAACTCGTGGTCAAAAATGGGCCGCTGCCTGCGAAATTCGGACCCCTGGCATGTTGTTTGCCCTCTTGTGGTGTTCTACTTATTGTTTAAAACAGAAAAACGAAACAACAAAAAACAGTTGCCAATATTAACTCAGTACATTCCACATTAAAAACAAACCGCAACAGATTTCTGGCTTTTCACGACTTGCCACGTGTGGGTGTGCCTCCCCACGAAGGGCACGGGGCTGGGGCTGAGCCGTAGTGGCTCAGGTTTCCCAGATGCTCTTTCTGGTTCACCACAGTCCCCACCTCTCCCTATTGCCTCACGCACTGGCCTTCTTCCTCCAATTATATCACCCCTTTGACTCATTTTGCTTTTCATTTTTACTACCCTGGGGATATACAAAGACAGTGAAGATGTGTGTAGAGCAGGGAGGTGTGAATCTGTGACATTATGTAGGGTAAAACGGACAGATTTTGGTGACAGAGGTGAGAGATAAAGGAGGAGGAGGAAGTGAAAACAGTACCTTGCTTCTGGCTGGAAAGACTATGTAGATGGTGGTCAGCTCCAAGGAGGGGAAGCAGTGCAATCATTTTCCACAAGCACAGGACTGTCGAAACGCTGCCTGAGGCAACAGCGTATGGTGTCCATATGTGCGCGACCCTTTCTCCTCCCCTCAATTCATATTCGGGAGTGAGTATCATCACAGTGTCTACGTGTCAAAATGAATATCAATCTAGACTTGAAGAACAAGTACTCAGAAGCAAAAAGAGGGAAAGAAGGTCCCTGCTCTCTCCTTGGTCTTCACACTTCCCAGAAGTGGCGAGGTGCCAGTACAGGCTTGGGGGTCGGCCTCGTTCCAGGGCCCCTGACGGTTCTGACAAAGCAAGGATTTGCCAGAGAAGGGTGAGCAGGCTGGAGGGTGTCCCTGATGAGGAGGGCCTCTCCAATTCTTTCCACTCCTGAGCGGTTTCACTGACAAGGTCCCAGGGAAGGGCCGGTTGTTCTGGGAACACAAAACTGGGAACATGTCCCTGTGTGTGAGGCAGCACCGCCACCTAGAGGAAGGACGGGATTCTACAGCCTTACTCTTCCGAACGAGGCCGGACGTGTGCGGAGGCTCAGACCCGGGAAGGAGGGGAACTTTATACCACCTGGGGACCAGCAGGCGGCCTGAAGGCAAAATAGGCAAGTCTTGGTCTTAACTCTTTCCTCAAATTTAGTAGGATCTCAGGATTCCAAAGAACAAGATCACAGGACATTGCTTCTCTCAAAACCCTCCAATAGAACAAAAGTGTTTTGTTTTGTTTTTTGTTTTTTGTTTTTGTTTGTTTTGTTTTTTTAAAAAAAAATTTTTTTTTTATTTGTTTATTTGACAGAGAGCTAGAGAGAGAGCACAAGTAAGCAGAGCGGCAGGGAGAGGGGGAGAGAGAGAAGTAGGCTCTCCGCTGAGCAGGGAGCCCAATGCGGGGCTCGATCCCAGGACCCTGGAATCATGACCCGAGCCGAAGGCAGCCGCTTAACCAACTGAGCCACTCGGGTGCCCCCCTTGTTTTGTTTTTTAAAGATTTCATTTATTTACTTGACAGAGAGAGGGGACAAGCAGGCGGAGCAGCAGGAAGAGGGAGAAACAGGTCCCTGCTGAGCATGCAGTCCATGGGGCTCAATCCCCCAAGCCTGGGATCATGACCTGAACTGAAGGCAGATGCTTGGTGGACTGAGCCATCCAGGTGCCCCAATCACAAAGGATTTTGGGGGCAGTGAAAATACTCAGTGTGATACTACAATGGTGGATACATGTCATTATACATGTGTCCAAATCCATAAAATGCGCAACATCAAGAGCGAGCCCTAGTGTAAACAGTGGACTCTGGGTGATGGCGTGTCCTTGCACACTTTGGTAGAGGGTGTGGATAATAAGGGAGGCTGTGCATGTGTGGGGATGGTGGTGTACGGGAAATCTCGAGTCTTCTGCTCAAATTTGCTGTGAACCTAAAACTGCTCTAAAAAATATTAAGGGGTGCCCGGGTGGCTCAGTCAGGTAAGTGTCGGACTCTTAGTTTTGGCTCAGGGCATGATCTCAGGGGTGAGGGATTGAGCCAGTATAGGGCTCCGCCCTCAGTGGAGAGTCTGCCTGAGATTCTTTCCCTCTTCCATCCCCTCACCCTCAAATAAATAAATAATAAAATACTAAAACAAAGAAATAAAACCCTCCAAGAGTTCTTCATCTCATGCAGACTAAAAGCCAAAGATTTTGCAAGGACCTACAAGACCTACTATGATCTATCCCCCATAGTCCATTCTATTACCTGTCTGACCTCAGTCTTGCTTTTCTTATACTTGACAATTACACTCCTGCCTCAGGACCTTTTCACTGGCTGTTTTCCGTCTGGAATGTTCTTTCCCAAGATACCCAGTTGGCTATTGCCTTCAAATCTCTGTTCAAATGTCATCTTCTGGGGTGCCTCGGTGGCTCAGTTGGTTAATGTGTCTGCCTTTGGCTCAGGTCATGATCTCTAGGTCCTGGGATCGACCCTCACATCTGGCTTCCTGATCATTGGGGAGTCTGCTTCTCTCTCTCCCTCTGCCCCTCTTCTTCACTTAGAGTCTCTCTCTAATAAATCAATCTTTAAAAAAAAAAATGTCACCTTCTTGGTGTAGCCAAGCATGTACCCTCATTTTAAATCCAACACCCACACACACCCTGAATATCCCTTATTGTTTTTGTTTTCCTAAGGCACTTATGTCTTTCAAATATTATATAATTTAATGATTGTATTTCCTGTTTATTGATGCCATCCAACTAACATGTAAGTTCCACAGGGGCAGAGCTTTCCATCTGTTTTGTTCATCACTGTGTCCCAAGCAATTACAACAGTTACCCAGCCTGCAGTAGGTACCTAATAAACATTTGTAGAATGAATGAATGAACAAATGGACCAACCTAGAGTATTTAGTCCAACCACTCTGGTTCAGAGGGAAAAATAGAGGCCCAAGAAGAAAAGCTGACTTCTCTGAGGTTGGGCAGGAAGTCAATGCCAGAACCAGGACTAGAACTCAAACTCAATGCCTCCTGGCTGGCATACTTCCCATATAACCGTGACACATGCTCCACCCACCCTTGGCCAAAATGCTCATGCCCCATAAATAACCCACAAGACTCAATGTATTAGTTCTAGGATAGTTTGCATTGTCTTAGCTAAGATATCTCCTACCCAAAGCATGACTCTCTAAGCTGGACTTGGGGACACCAGGAGCAGGTAGTTGGGGAAGGCTATTTGGAGGTGGAGTGTCCACGTGGGAACCCCCAATCATACCTTGGCCTGTGGTGCCTTAGGGGGTGGTCCCACTGTAGGGACTCCCACTGTAGGGAGTGTAGGGTATAGGGCTCTTCACCAAGAGCCAGGCTAGGCAGCCCTCAAGGAAGGCCCCCCCCCCTTAGAGAACATGGATATTTTCCCTGAAGTCTTCCTTAAAGCAACTTACAGCTGGTACAGCTGAATTGAAAATACTGACTTTCCAGATCTCCTGGCTGCAGTGCTTCTGTGTTTTGACTTTATGATTTTTCCTTTGTGCATACAGACATTTTCTATTTTTATGTAGTTATCAGTCTTTCCTTTAATGGTTTATGACTTGGAAATGTTTCCCCCACTCAGAGAATATTTAAAATTGTGTCTTTCCTTCTAGCACTAGGGTTTCAATTTTTACACTTAAATCTTTGGTCTATCTGAAATGTATTTTGGTATAAGTTGTATAATAAGAATCCAACATATTTTTTTTCAGATGGCTGAACAGTTGTCCTTGCACATGTGGGAGTGTATTTATAGTATATACCATATAGGAAAAAAAAAACAACCATCTTTCTTCCACTGATTTGAAATGTCACTCTTATGATACATTAAATTCCCTACTTATTTGTGCCTATTTCTGAACATTCTGTTCTGGTCCTTTGATCTGTGTCCATGTAGAATTTTTTTTTAAGATTATTTATTTATTTATTTATTTATTTGACAGAGAGATCACAAGCAGGCAGAGAGGCAGGCAGAGACAGAGGGGTGGGAAGCAGGCTCCCCGCTGAGCAGAGAACCCGATGTGGGGCTCAATCCCAGGACCCTGAGATCATGACCTGAGCCAAAGGCAGAGGCTTTAACCCACTGATCCACCCAGGTGCCCCTCCATGTAGAATTTTAATGAAAAAGGAGAAAAATATACTACCATAACAAAATAGTACATGGTAAGGGGCTCCTGGTTGGCTCAGTTGGTAGAGTATGTGACTCTTGATTTTTAAAAAATACTCATTCAATCTCTACACCCAACTTGAACTCACAAGCCCAAGATCAAGAGTTCCACACTGTACAGACTGAGCCAGTCAGGTGCCCCTAATCCATTTTGAATTTATTTTTGTGTCTGGTGAAAGGAAGTGGTCCAGTTTCACCCTTTTGCATGTGGCTGTCCAGTTTTCCCAACACCCTTTGTTGAAGATATGTCTTTTTCCCATTGGATATTC